ATATTTCACCCACTCTAGCCGCTCTGCATTGGCTGCCCATCAGATTCCGCATCGACTTCAAAGTGTTGATGCTTACGTATAAAGCCCTAAACGGTTTAGGGCCTCGATATCTGGCGGAACGCCTTCTACCACCAAGATCTACCCGTGTCACTCGCGCGAGCCAGGAGGTGAGGCTGAGGAGCCTAACGCCGAGGGAGGCCCGGAAAGAAAAGACAAGAAAAAGGGCGAGGCAGGTTGTCTCAAAGCCATAGCTGTTTGTTTGCAAAACCTGAACAGAATTTACTGTAAAAAGACAATATTGCTAGGAACAGGGAGGGGACTCTAAGAAGAAAAACAACCTAATATGAGATACTTTTGCTGTGTAAAAACTGAGCAGAGCTGTTCATCGCAGGACCTTTGGGAGATCCTTAACACATATAGTTCCTTACTCCTCTTTCCTTCTCTTTCCTAGTGTTTTATCCAATTGTTGAAAGTTTTCCACTTTGTATAATGGTTTTTATTATTGTTGTTCCCTTTGTTGTGAGCCGCCTAGAGTGTGCCATGGTATCCCACCGTCCACGTTCAGTGCATGGGGGTGGCGGGGCCCGCCTGTCTCTTTCCTCCACCAAAAAGGCAGGTGCCGTGAAAGAGCTGTTTGCCCTTCTTCGGTGAGCTGCAGAGCAGGGAGGGGGAGGAGGGCCTTCCTGGGAACTGGGTGGGTGGGATGGTGGAGCCACCACCGAGGAGGACCTTGAGGGCAAAAACCCTGTGGGGAGGGACAGGGAGGGGGCTGGGGGCTGGGAGCGAAGGAGGGCAAGGCTCAGGGGAGAGGAGGCCGTTCCGCCTCCCAGCGCTTTGCGTGAAGAGGCCGGCGGCAAAGGGTGCCCTTCATCTCCTTGCTGAGCCTTTAAAGGGCGATGACCCTTTTGGAAGGCAGGTCTCTTTCCTCTCTCCCTCTCAGGTCCTGCTTTCAGGAGCTGCAGCAAAAGTACCTGTGGGTGTGGCTGGCCCTGGACTGCCTCTGCGACCTGCTGTACCTGCTGGACATGGTGGTGCACTTCCACACAGGTAGGCTGTTTCTCCCCCTCTGGAGATCCAACCTCCTGGCCTCCTCAGCTTCCCAGGGTCATTTCCCTCCTATTCAAAAGCAAGGAATGCTTTATGCAAAAGGCCTCCCTCTCAACCAGACCCACATCCTGTGTTCTATTGGAGAAATTGGTTAATTCCTTTTATAGTTAGCAGAGTGTCAGATACAAACAACAACTGCACATAGAAAGCTTGAAAGAATAGCTTAAGTTTCACTAGCCCACCCCTTTTCACACTAACACTTCATGTGTTAAAAATCACTCTGGAAGCATTTTCAGTAAGGAAAAACGCATCTTTACTTACAGTTGCTGTTTATAGTTACAGTCAGTAGAAAAATGGGAGAAATTAAGTCTCCACATGTGAGAGAGATGCCTCCATGCTTCCTGCATGTTCAGAGGTCAGGAAAGGAGAAAGAGAGAGACTAACAAAGAAAGAAAACAAAGCAAAGCAGCAGATAGAGGAGAGGGTCAAGCTGGGTGGGGGAAGGATTTTTATCAATGGCTTAGTAGGAAAGGAGAGAATCCCTTGAGGTGCTAAAAGTGCCCCCACCCCCGGGTCCCATTGCTACCTAGTATTAGAAAGCATGCAAGATTGTTCTGAACTGGTTTCTGTAGGGTCCATTCCTGGGCGAGACCATTTGCCTGGGACTGCTTTGGCACATGGCGGTCTCAGGGCCGCCCACTGGATGGCAGCAGCTGCCCAGCTTTAGTGCCCTGGTGGGCCGGATGGGGAAGGAAGCGCTGCCTACAGAGAGTGTGTGTGTGTCGAACACTGGGCAGCTGGGCAAGGGAGGGATGCTCCATATTCTGGCCCTTCTGCCATCCCTTCAGCTGCTCCTAGGCTTCTGTCAAGGGCTCTGCAGGCAGCCAGTTAAGTAGGTCTCAGACACACACACACACACACACACACACACAGAGAGAGAGAGAGAGAGAGAGAGAGAGAGGTGTGCCCCTTCCTCTCTTTGGAAGGTGGTTGGCTCAGTGGCTCCTGTTCAAACGGGGTGGCAAAGGGAGGCAGGGGATGCGACAGGCAGCTATTGTGGGCCTCCTGGCCCCCTGAGAGGGTTGCAGGAAATCCTGTTGGGGGGCCGGGGGCTATGCCAGCACAAAGTCAGCCAAGACCCCTACCCTGGCCCCTAATGGCTTGCCATGTTTCATAAGAGCCGCTGCATTTCGCACAAGGCCAAGCTAGGTGTGTGTGTGTGTGTGTGGGAAACCAGCCTTGCCATTTCACTGCAGAAAGCAAAAGCAAAAAAAGCAACGCGTGCTGCTTATATACCACCCCATAATGCTTCAAGCAGTTTACAAGTTAATTACGCAGGCTACACCTTGCCCCCTCCCCAGTGAGCTGGTTCCTCATTTTACCGACCTCGGAAGGATAGAAGGCTGAGCCCTGGGAAGAGTCTGGCTCGCCATGAGTGGTGGCAGTGGGGGGTGGGAGTGGTGGGAGGAAGTGCTCTGTTGTTGTGCTGCAGAGAAGCAGGCCCTGGCCAAGAGGCATCTTTTTCCATGGGCGCCTGGCGAGTAGAAGCCCTCTGGCTGGGCCAGTTCCTCAACCACCTCTGGGATGGCTCTCATCCCCCCCGCCCTCCCCCATGGGCCAAGCGGGAGTGAAAGCCTGCCGGGGGCATGTGCGTGTGGGTTCTGAGTCCAAGACCCCCTCCCCAAAGGCCTTTCCCCATCACCCATCTGGACTGTCTTCCTCCCCCCCCCACGTACCCCGACTCCCAGGATTCCTGGACCAAGGGATCCTGATCCAGGACCGGGCAAAGATCTCCCAGCGCTACCGGCGCTCGGCCCCTTTCCTGTGGGACCTGGCCTCCTTGCTGCCCACGGAGGTGCTCTACCTGCTGGTGGGGACCAACCAGCCGGCGGTGCGGGCCAACCGCTTCCTGCGGACCCCTCGGCTGTTTGAGGCCTTTGACCGGATCGAGACGCGCACGGCCCACCCCTACGCCTTCCGCATCTCCAAGCTGATGCTTTACGTCTTCGTCACCATCCACTGGAACAGCTGCCTCTACTTTGCCCTCTCGGGGCTCATCGGCTACGGGGCGGATGAGTGGGTGTACCCCAACATCAGCACGCCGGGCTTCGGCCGGCTTCGGCGCCAGTACCTCTACAGCTTCTACTTCTCCACGCTGATCCTGACCACCGTGGGCGACACGCCGATGCCCCAGCGCCAGGAGGAGTTCCTCTTCATGGTGGCGGACTTCCTGCTGGCCGTCCTGGGCTTCGCCACCATCATGGGCAGCGTGACCTCCGTGGTCTCCAACCTGAACGAGGCGGACGCCGCCTTCTACCCCAACCAGGACCTGGTGAAGGGCTACCTGCGCACCCGCCGCGTGGACCGCCGCCTCCAGCGCCGCGTGGTCGCCTGGTACCAGCACCTCCAGATGAACCAGAAGCTGACCGACGAGCGGGGGATCCTGCAGCACCTGCCGGGGCGCCTGCGGGCCCAGGTGGCCGTCAGCGTCCACCTCCCCGCCCTGCGCAAAGTCCAGATCTTCCAGAACTGCGAGCAGAGCCTGCTGGAGGAGCTGGTGCTGAAGCTGCAGCCGCAGGTCTACAGCCCCGGGGAGTTTGTCTGCCGGAAGGGCGACATCGGGCGGGAGATGTACTTCATCCGCGAGGGCCAGCTGGCCGTGGTGGCCGACGACGGCCTCACCCAGTACGCGGTCCTGGGGGAAGGCCTGTACTTTGGGGAGATCAGCATCATCAACATCAAAGGTAGGCGGGAGAGAGGGCCACGGTCTTGCCCCTGCCCTCTGGCCCCCTCCTCAGACAGCTGCTGAAGAGGGGGTCCCGCTCCCTCCTGGGGAGGAGCCCATGCCCTTCTGGGCCCTCAGCCACCTGGCCGGAGAGCCTTCCGGGCCCTGCCGAGATTATTAGGATCCCCGAATGCGGGGGGGGGGGA